CCCACAATTAGAATTTTTATAATTATAGTAAAACTAGTAGATGTGCCTGACATTGCCAGAGCAAAAGTAATAAGTATAAGCAAATAAATTAAAACTATATTAAAAGTTTGGTTGTTTTAGGCCAACTCAAATCAATAGTGTTAATCCAGTATAATCCAGAAAACTCTATACTTTTTGAATCTAAGAATATAATTCATGGACTGCTTATACCTTCATTAGACTATATTTTCTGCAAGATCGTAGAGAGTAACTCTAAAAAATTAAAAATTTGATCCAAATCAGCCAAAGAGTTTAGAAGTTAACAAAGGAACAAAATCAGAGAGAGAGAGAGAGAGAGAGAGAGACAAACATATAATTGTAATTTTTGTTGTAATGATGACAGTTTCACAGTTTTAGAATAAAAAGTCATTTTTTTAATGCACCCTCTAAAGAGAGATGTGTAACCTCACTTAAACTGGCATGCCTGCATTCCCCAGGATAAACCAGCACGCCGGCTTTTACTGTATGGAAATATCTGATTTCGTGGTCTTCCCAGATAAACCAGCATGCTGGTCATTCTGTGAAAATACGATAATGAAGTGCTTAAACATGCTTTTAATGTGATTTTATAAATTTATAAAATTTTTCAATTTTTGTTATGGAGAATTCTTTTTAATTTGGAATAATTAAGTTTATACACATTTCTTGACTTTATTATTAATTTATCATTTACATTTATAAATTATTACTACTGTGTATTAGAAAATTAAATTTAAAGCTATTAATACACACACAAAAACAAAAGACATCTTAAGGCATTATTATTTCATTTTTAACTTAAAATATATATTCATAATTTTTACTATATTGTTGGCTATAAATATATTTAAAACACTTACTTGTAGCATTATTCATTTCTTTGGAAAGTAAAAGCCTATTCATTACAGTATTTTGTTTCTGCTTCACCAACTGTTTTGATATTCTAGCACCATCATGAATGTTACAACCTAAAAAAATAAAATTTTCTATATATTTAAATGCTTTTACAAATTTTAATATTAAAAGAATGTTATATTTATATCAATTATACAATGATTTTCCTTTCTACTTTTAAAAATATTTTTAATTGACATACATTTTTAGTTTAAGTTTGAGAATTATTCAATATACAAAGTAATCAAATATTATAAATATATTTTATTGATAATTATTATTCTATACAATAGACTATTTAGGATGAAGTGCATTAAGTTTTTGTCCCAAACATTAAAAGCCATATCCTTCATCATAACATTTAAAGAACTTGACATAAAGTCTGATTACATTCAGAAAAAATCATTTTAACCTTCCATTACTTGAACCAGATTTTATAATTCAACTGAGTACTTGCTACAAGTCTGACAGACTTGATAATTTTATTTTATCAAAACCATAAAAATACTTTTAAACAAACTTACATAAAAACTAATAGGTGTAATTACAATATTTGTGAATGTATACAAAAATAAATTATTATTAAAATTTATAAAATCAGTAGATTTCTGTACTTATACTTTCACAAATAAATAAATATAAATTAAATTTATATTTACTTGCAAAATGTTAATACAAAAGTATTAGTCAAAAAATATAACATTATGAAATGATATAATCTAAAAACTACACATGTACAAATATTCTCTCACTTTGTAAATTTATATAACAAAATAATGATTGTGTAAGTCCAAAATGATCCATTGAATTTATTCAAAATTTAAGGTGTCCAAAATATTCACCACAGACACTGATTATAGTGGTACCTTGTTCTTCAAATGACTTAGCTTTGAACTATTCAGAGTTTGAATGCTAAATTTGACAAAAATTTGCCTCAGAATTTGTCAACAATACTTCAAAGTTTGAACTGCATGTGCAGTGAAAAAAATGCACTTGAAGAGTAAATACAATCTATAATGTGCCCAAGCCATCTCTCACTGTCATGTTACACTTATATGCTTTCAGTGTTTTTCCACTTTATTTTTGGTATGTTTGGATATATATATATATATCCAAAAGTTCTATTCACATATATATATATATATATATATTGTATGTTATTCATCAATTTTTAACAATTTCTTTGTGCAACTTTTCACTGTCAACAGCTTTTGGTCACCTCCTATATTTTGTATCATTTAGTTCAAAATTCCCCGAATAGAACTTTTTAAACTACATTTGATTTATTTGAAGTTTAGGAGCATCTTCTCCATACACATTACAGATTTTTTTTACTGTTTATACTGCATTTCCAAAACTGTTTATACTGCTTTTCCAAAACTCATAAAACATAATATGCCCAATATTTATTTTATCTGTAGACATTTCAAATTGCTTTTACTCAAAAAAATATGAGAAGTAAAAAGTTTAAAATAACCTTTGAAACAGAGTACAATCTCAAATTAGCAATAATATTTTAAATTTCACAACTGTTATAATTAAATCACACATCTGTGTTAAGTAACAATAGTTGTTAACAAGCTTGGTCAAGCCAATCTGATAGCATGCTCCACCAAAGCGAATCAAATATTAATTTTGTTTAAAATACATTTTATAAATTCTTAGAATCAAGTAGTTGTTGCGCACATGTGTGGACATGCACAATAAATGGATTGAATGGAACATAACACTTAGGTAACAAAAGTAAAGTCACATGAAAATCTGACAGACAGACAACATTGCATGATGGACAAAAGTCCTAACATAAGCACTTCACCACTATAGTGGAGCATGCTAAAAATGTGCAAAAACTTTCTGTTAAACCCAATAGGGTTGAACAGAACCTTTACTTATTATATATTATTAATATAACCTTTACTTATTAACTTGACAACTGAGAAATGTATGGAATCAACAAAGTCTAAGAAAAGGGTTGTAATATCAACAACTGAGGTGAAAAGGGAAGTTATCAGAAAACACAAAAGTGTTAGATGAGGGATGGATATGGCAGCCATGTTCAAGATACCAAAGTCAATGGTGAGCTATGAGTAAATGCAATTTTCATTTTGTTATACAATACCTATTTTATTTATTGTTTACCTATTTATTTTATGTTTATATGTTTACCTATTTTATTTATTGTTTTCATGTTTTATGTTATTATTGGGGAATTTAATTGTGTTATTTTTACTTTAAACTTATGTGTATTTTCTGTTTTAAGTTTACCAAAATGAATATTGTTTAAGGTCAGGGAATGGATTAATTCACTTTCTGTTATTTGTAATGGGAAAAATTGATTCAGACTTCAAATGGTTTAGAGTTTGAACAGTCTCTGAAATGAGTTCAATTCAAAGTATGAGGCATCATTGTATTTTAAATTTCATCAAAACTAGTTCATTAGTTGTGGAGATATTAAGGGACAAAATTGGCACTAACATTAAATGTATAGTAGAGCTTTAGCCATATATAATTATCATAGAGTGTATATCAAACAATTAATAAACAATCCAATAGAACAAGTAATGCAATTAACAAGATAAATTTTAACCAAAACAAAAATAAACACAAATGCAAGAGAGAACATTGTTACAAAAATTGTTCAAAATGGACTTCTCATGTTTTGATGTATCCTCTGAACTTTCATTCCATTCTTTGCTGTACTCTGTCAAATCCTCCTGAAGTGTTACTTATTTGCTCACATATGTTTACTGTAAACTGTCTTAAAATATTGGCATCAGGCACAGATAATAAATAATGGACTTTAAATGTCCCCAGAGATAAAAATTCAGTGGAATCTGGTAATTGAATAGATCATTCAATGGATCGTCCATGACAAATCCATCTTTGGAGAAAACATCCATCCAAATACTGATGACTTCTCCAACTGAAGTGAGCCAGAGTATCATTGTGCACAAAGTACATTTGTCAGATGACATTCAGAGGTACAGTACATTGTCCATTAAATGATGCAATTTGTTTTGAAGAAACTGCAAGTTAATATTTACTATCGGACATAAAAATAAATACTAGAGATATATCAAATGATCTTACAGAATTCCAGTACAAACAATTAGACTAAACTGAAATTAATGTTTGCCCTGTCACATGCATGAGGGTTGTTATCACTCCAAATGTGTATTATGTATGGTAGTTGAAAAATTCAGTTTGCATCAGTAAGACCTTGTACCATAGAAGGTAATACATATACAGACAGTTTTCATAAAGAATATTACTAAGTCATAAGACTAACTTCTTTCCTCAATGAAATTCTTTTTATATTTTCTGATGGATTTTCATCCACATTACAAAGAACTTGTACCTCAAGGTCATCATTTCATATTTCTTTTTGTCTTCCAATGTCAAAAGATCTTTTCTCAAATGAGCTTATCTGTTGAAAACATTGGTAATTTCATGTGAATGTTCTTAACAAAATAAACACTGTTGAGGTATCTTTCTGAATACAGTTCACATGCTCTTAATATATTCCCATCTGCAAGATCACAAGTATAGTGAATGTCTTCCATTTTACTAACTGAATATGTTTCTTTTACAAGTTCTTTGCTACAAGGTAAGCTTCTGTATCTTCCACAACTGACATTTTTAAACAACAAAACACATACATATATTACATATTTATGCAAATTATTTATCAAAGCAATATTGATTGATATCTGAATGAAAACTTGTGGAAAAATTTTAATAATTCTAAAAGCCATTTCTATACCCAAAATTATATGAACTTTTTATAATGTTTGGTACACTCCTAGAATATTTGATACCAATTAATACAGGTATACATACAATGTGTATGTATAATAAAGTATAAGTATGTATATATATATCCTATGTGTGTATGTATGTGTATATATATATATATTATATTAAAAATTTAAATGATTGATATCATATACAATAAATAAAATATATAAAGATACATTTTAACTTCTTTCTGAAACTTTCAAACAATTCACAATGTTTAAAAGTTGTAGAGTAATATAATTTAATCCTACATTGTTAACTATGCAAATATAATTTTAAAATCCTTATTTATAATAGATTATCTTACCTAGAAGTTGTCTCTGATTTTTGAACATATCAACAAGATTGATTATTTTTATATTTCCAGTTTTTGTAGCTAGTGAATAAATGGACTCACCATTACATGATTTACTATATATATCTGCCCCCTGAAAATATATCAAATGAAAGTTTTTAAATTAAATTATAATTAAAAAATACCAAAAGACAGTAAAAGACAACTGGAAAAACAATATAAAATTATAATAAATAAATAAGCAATAAATATTGTATCATTAAATCCATTATTCTTCCAACCAAGCCAACTTGATACTGATGAATTTAGCAACAGATATTTTAAATGATATAAATTTTCATTATTGTCATCTTATAAAAAACATTTTCAATCTATATTAGATCATCCTCGGCTTGAAATCATAAATGTTTGAAATCAGAACATTTAATAATAAAGAAATTTTTACTGTGTCGGTGTTAAATGAGTTTTTTAATATACATATAATTAAGAATAACAAGCACAAGCACTTTTGACAATTTTGACTGTCAACATGGTCTGGGGTCAAATTTTCAAATTGGTAGTATGCAAAGCTTTATTATTGCAATAGGTTACACTTCTCAAAAGAAACAAACTTTTATTTCAATGTCAGTTTGGTGACCTTGACCACATGTATTGAAAATTAAAAAAATAGAAACATTTTTACTTCAAGTTCAATTAGTGGTATCTCAAAAACAAACCCTAAATGAAAAAAATTGATGAAAAAATGTTTTTGTTTGTGCTGAGATGATCTTAATTAATGATGGTGCAAGAAAAAAATTTTCAAGATAAAAAAAAAGGTGGTCAAGGTCACCAAACTGACCTTGAAATAAAAGTATTTTGTTTCTTTTGAGATGTGTAATTGATTTTGTATTCAATTATTTCATAGTTTGATTCTCACTAACTGCAAATAAGTTTGGATGTTCTTCTGCATGTTTTACACATGATATTTATACAAATTTATTCAATTAAAAATTTGAAAATAAAAATACACTAGACCAATGGTTCCCAATTAGTGTTACGCGTACCCCTGGGGGTATGCGAAATTGCATAAAGGGGTACGCGCGGTAACCTAAAATTGGTCGATTTAAAATTTAAATGCATGAGATGAAGCAATACAAAAATAATGAGTGGACCATCAAAAATTCGGCAATTTACAACACGATGTGGAATGCAAAAATTCGTTTATTTATAACTGAAAATATTTTCGAAATTTCATTAAAAAAAATGCATTTGTGACAATACCTAAATGAAATTCTTGCGCAAGAAACAAAAATTGTACAATTAACACAATTTGTGTTAATTGTACAATTATCATTATCATCGTGTCAGCAAAGTGGCAATAAAATATTTTCTACCATTTTGCACAACATACCTCTGCGAGAGCAGATTTTCGGCCATGACAAACATGAAAACTAAACATTGTAAACGACTTCAACTCGAAGATGACTCGAGACTGAAGCTGACCAAAAAGCAACCAGATTTTACAAAGTTGTGCAAAGAAAATCGTGCACATTTGTCACATTAAAATTAAATAACCTTATGTTATTTTCATTATTATTAGAATTGTATTTTAAAGGTAATAAATGTAAAAAAAAACTTATTCTATTTATCACTTGCTGTCTACCCACAGCTTTGCCCGCATTATATTGAATTTTCTCGTGGGAGTAAGATATTTTCTTGCTATAAAATGTAGCCTATGTCCATTTCCAACATGTAAGCTATCTCTGTGCCAAATTTTATTAAAACCTGTTTAGCGGTTTGGACATGAAAAGATAACAGACAGACATACAGAATTACCTTCGAATTTATAATATTAGTATGGATTAATATGAATTTCTGCTATAAGGGGTACGCGAGTTTGAGTTCTTTCTTGAAGTGGTATGCAGGAAAAACTAATTGGGAACCACTGCACTAGACCCTCAATGTTCATGGACATCAGTGTGTGGAAATTTGATTATTCATGATCAGAAATTTATGCACCAAAATTTCAACTTTCACAAAAGGTTTCAACCTTTCAGGAAATGAGAGATTACATACTATTGTAAACTGAAGTTGGCACCTGCATGAACTGAATGTTCAGGTGGAACAATGCCAAAAGATCACTGCACTCACTCATTTGTATGGTGTCTGTCATAAGTTATGTTACTATTTTGTTTATTTTTTTTCTTTCGGCTTAAATAAAATGACTTTTGCAGCACTAAAAAAACCACTGCACAGTGTATTTATTTAATAAAACTATTCATTTTTCTGAAAACTTTTTACAATAGCATTAATACATAAAATCTTGGAACAAATTACAAATTTAACATTAAAAATGAAACTCAGAATTTGAGAATTTGATGTTCTTAAAGGATTACTTGGTCCCAATTATTCACAAACATGAGGGATCAGTGTAATTCACAATAATTTCAATCATCTATAAATTATAATATTCACTGAAGTTTAGAGAAAATGTTTAATTTATGACAAATACACTAAATGTTTTGAATTTTTCCATTCAAAAACTTTTTTCTAATTACTTTTATGGAGAAATATCCAAAATATTTGCTGTGATGTTTTCATTTACATTCTTCAATTTGCTTCTTTTTTTGGCAAATTAATTCATAATTTGTTGTTAGATAATTCACGCATTTCTACAGTAATAATATAAATTTAATTAATAGTTATATTTAAAAATATTGTACTAAAAAATGCCAAATTAAAATACATAAAAATCAAACACAGTTATAAAGTAGAAAGAAAATATTCAAAACTATTATTATTAGAACAAAGGTGTTATTAGAAAAATTAAATGATAGTAAAGAATATTCAAAACCTTAATAGTAGTAGTCATAAATTTATTTTTCCTTGCAATTTCCTATAACTTTATCTTAATTTTATTTTTCAAAACTTATTAAAATTTATATTCAAAATTTTTTATATTAATGATACTTTTTCCATTTGTTATTAAAAATTTTTAACAAGAATAATTATAAATTGATAATTTGTAATAATAAAATATTTCATATGCATTTATTCCACTTAACTTTATTTATCTTTAATTTTTTATATTTCAATACTCACATAAGTTAATAATTCTTTTACAATAGCTTCATGATTTGCATTTATAGCAACCATAAGAGGTGTAAAACCTGTCAATTTTTCTCTGAAAATAAAAAATATATAAATCAGGTTAATTATATTATATAGTTAATTCCTCATAAATAGTAATATGTCATACACAATATTAACAGTGCATTTATTTTCTAATAACAACTGCACAATATTGTAATGTCCACAGGAGGCAGCATGAAATAGAGCTGTTCGATTATTTTCATCTGCATCATCAATTTTGGCTCCATGCTATTTGAGAAAAAAAACCTATTATAAATTTGTAAATTTTTTCAATGTATAATAAATTAACTAATATTCCAGGATATAAAAACTATATTAAATCTAAACTGTTAACCTAGGTAGCCATGTGAGCAATTTCAATGTACCAAGCAAGCATATAATCATGTTTATGATTCACTGCTGAAATCCACTATGCTTTGTTAGTATGTAATCTAGTAGAAAAATATGAGAATAAATCAAAGATGGATGATGACAATGCAATCATTTTAGTGACTACCTGTTTTTTTTTGTAGTAAAAAAAGGAAAAGAAAACTAAAACATCAATTTATTATTATTTTTTATCATTTTTCATCTTTATACTTTCCACAACTTTAGCAAAAATTTCAGGAAAATTGCAAACTTCTATTAATTTTTCAGTTTCTGCAATCATCTACCTAGTTATATTGTAGAAAATGATATCAAATCTTCTGATGACATTCATTGTTTCTAGGTTGTGCATGCACAGTCTTAAAAGTGTATAAATTTCACAATAAAATCACTCATATTGTTACCCAGCTTTATAACGATAACGTTCCAAAAGCATTAAATCTAAAATTGAATTTAATTTCAACATTTTGACTATAGTTAAACGAGAAATTTTTATTAATGATCAGACAAATTTGTTAGTAATTCCTACATTGAAAACATCAAAATTATTTTTATCATAACATTATAATCATTTGGAGATTGATATTTCTGTTATTANGCTTTTAGTTGTGATGAGAATAGGAATATTCTGCTAAAAACATTTTCTTATCAATGATTTTTAAGGCAAGCTTTGTAATGCACGATTTCTCCAGAACATCCAATCATGACATCAGAAGATCATGTGCCATTTTTAGATGTGAACATGAATCATTTTTAGACAGGTATGACCTTGCAACTTGGTCTTGCACAAGAAGAATTTTTAGACATACCCTTAGCTATTTGCAAACTGGAAGCACTCATTTTCTGTACATTCTATGTTATTAGTTTTAACAAAATGATTGGTTTGACCCAGCACACTGACAATTCTATTCAAACAAAGACTTAAAACCTATACATGTTCTTTCATTAGTATGCCTATTTGAGAATACAGTAGAGTGTTGATTATCTCAATGTCGATCAACCGAAAGCGTTCCAGTCGGACTGTGTCGTGCTGAATCAAACGTTTTTGATATTAGATTAACTTCTAAAGTATAATTTTTTTTTGTTTTTATATATTTCAATACATTAATTTTGTTTGTACAAAATAAAGAAATAATTTTTAACGATACAATAGCCATGATTATTATAATAAAAATTTTCATTAGGCTTAACATCGATGAAAATTCAATGCAAAATGACATGCAACAGAGAAAAATTTAAACATGGGATATACTAATATACTTTATTAATAATTTATTTTTTTATATATAATCAGTTATCCAAAAAATCTATTTTCCAAACAACCCCAGTCTCCAATTGATTTGGATAATCGACACTCTACTGTATAACAGATTGCTCTTTAGTTTTAAGAGGGTTATCTGTAAAACCATAATTTATAAGTGACTTCCATAGAAACTACAAAAAATTCACATGTGTGGCATCTCTGTATTTTATCTCACTCAAATCACGAGATCTTTTAAAAATAATTGTTAAAACACTAAAATAATATAAAATTAAAGATATTAACCTTGCCATGAAATAAGAACATCATTTGACAATTTTCCATCTAATACATCTCCATCTATTTCTGATTGACTTTCTGCTTCTGTTTCAGTTGTTTCATCCACATCACTTAAATAGAAAACAATAATGCATTAATTTATTTATGTCAAACTTAAATTAATATAATTTTGACTAAATAATAACAATAAAATACAAATACAATATAAACATTTTTGAATAAATAGTTTATTAGTAATTTTGATTTTATTCTATTATATGTACAGTACCGTCATGCAAGCTAAGAGCCTTAGCTTAAATAATTGAAAAATTCAGATGGACATTATTATTAAACATCTGATTGAAGCAAAAGATTCACCATTTTCAGAATATTTAATTATTTCCATCTTTGTCTCGATCATATGAAGTTTATGAGTCCTTAATTTCTTTTTGTTCATATCAACACTACAGTTTCTCCATTTCTTACTCATGCTTATCAATAAGGACGAAATATTTAAACATAAACAAATAAATTGGCAAAACATACAACATGTTGACGCACACCCGAATGCGAGAACTGAAACTGTTTTGACCTCTTGCTCAGAACAACACAGTAATGATCACAATTCCAAGAAGTCTGCTATTGTAGGAAGTAATGTGTGTTTGAGAACATAGAGCAAACTACCGCACTTTGTAGTGTATAAGTATTCCGCATNTGCAAGCATTTTGTATTTGTTCCTGCATATGCAGGAACAAATACAAAATGCTTGCAAAAAAATTCTCAAAGAAATGCTTTTAGCTTATCACCAATCTTCTTTACTTTAATTAATGTATTGAAAAATGCATTGTTTTTCAATTGACATAAACATATTTCAATAAACATATTGAAACAAACAAAAGTAGGAAAAAATCTATATACAGGCGGCCCTCAACTTTCACACATAATTGGTTCCTGAAAACGTGTGTGAATGTTGAATGTTCAAAAGTAGAGGGATGTATAACAATATGCACCAAAAACTGTGTTGTAAAGTATTTATTTATCAATATGTATACATAATGAAGTTAACAAGGCATGTTTAATTAAGTGCTTTCGAGTGTTTTCTTTATAAACTTGTCAAGAGTTAGTTGAATACCACCCTTTTTTTTTTTCTTGATAAAGATTTCTATAACATGCTGTGTCTTTCTCAATCACCCTATGGATATATACGTTCTCCATTGGGATATCACATTCTTCCATGATAGTCAAAAATTTGTCAAGATGCATGAAGGCTTCATTCATATTTTTAATTGTCAAAGTCTTGACGTTTTTATCAGCTTCTTCTTCATCACTTTCATTGAGTATTTCATTGTTGCTCAATTAATATTCATTTGACAGAGGTACTGAGTGAGAGTCAATCAACTCATTAATATCTTCATTGTTGACGTCCAAGCTTAGTTCATTCATTAGACTAACTATTTCATCTGTGGTAGTTTTTGGCATTTCTTTAAAATTTATAAAATCACTCATCATTTGTGGGCATAATTGTTTCCAGGAATCTTTCACCGTCGACTCTTTTATTTCAGCCTACAAGTCTCCAATATTGTCTATTGCAGACAGTATTGGGAGGAAGAAACACAACATTGACTTCTGGGTATAAATTCTGCAGATTTTGGGTGTCCTGGAGCATTGTCTAAGATTAATAATGCTTTAAATTGTAAATTATTATTTTTACAATATTGCTTAACTGTCGGCATGAAATGAAAAATGAACCAATCTTTAAATATTAATGCAGTAACCCAGGCATTTTTATTTTATATTATTAAATATTTATTGCTGGATAGATAAAGGTGGTATTTATTTTAGTTATTCGAGTTCCAGTAAATTTTATTATTATTTTCATTTGATTTCCAAATGACTGGATCTTTATCTTTCCCTTTCAATGCTCTGGGATTTTCCACTTGGCTTCAATTTTAAATCACCAACTGTTTCCACCAAGAAATAATGTCAATCAGCTTTTGGAAGGTTTATGTTCAGGGACAACTGATTCTTCCTTCAATAAAAATGTATGATTAGGCATTTTTTCCCAAAATAAATCAGTCTCATCTACATTGAATATTTGACTAGGAGAATATTCTCCATCTACAATAATTTTGGACAATGTGGAAATAAATTATTTCGCATCATCTTTATCTGCATCAGCTGATTCTCCAGTGAATTTAATATTATGTAAAGAATATCTCATTTTAAATTTGTCGAACCAACCATTACTTGCATGAAACACTGTTAGAATCTTCATTTAATCTAGTCTTCCAATCGTCATGCAAGCTAAGAGCCTTAGCTTAAATAATTGAAAAATTCAGATGGACATTATTATTAAACATCTGATTGAAGCAAAAGATTCACCATTTTCAGAATATTTAATTATTTCCATCTTTGTCTCGATTGTACGAAGTTTATGAGTCCTTAATTTCTTTTTGTTTATATTAACACTGAAGTTTCTCTGTTTCTCACTCATGTTTATCAATTTATAAGGATGAAATATTTAAACATAAACAAATAAATTGGCAAAACACACAACACGTTAATGCATGCCCTAATGCAAGACTGAAACTGTTTTGACCTCTTGCTCGGAACAACACAGTAGTGATTACGATTCCAAGAAGTCCGCTATTGTAGGAAATAATGTGTGTCCAAGAATGTAGAGCGAGCTACCGCACTTTGTAGTGTATGAACATTCGGCATGAAAGCAAATTTTTTCATTATTGACAAAAACATTTAAGAAGTGAAGTTTTTAAAAATGTGCGAAATAGTGAATTGTGTGAAAATCAAGGGCCGCCTGTACAAATTTATACATTTATTTTAATGAAATGACAAGTTAATAAAAACACAACATAGGTACGAACATAACATAATATAGGCCTATCTTATAATTTGTCTACATCATTAAAAACATATTAAAATATAATGGTACAAATGATGTTCATTGCTTTACTGAGTGGAGCTATGCATAAGTCAAAATGATCTTGTCTGTGATCAAAGTTTAAAGCAATCACATGATCACTAAATGTGATTTTTTGCAAGTATATACAACTCAGCAAGGCCAATATCATAATGAAACCAGAATTTTGAAATTTGATCTATAGGCTGAGATATTCAAGATCAAAATTTGCCATGTAAAGTATATAACTGATTACCAGTTGCAAGCTGGTCACACACTACATGTCTATCATACACATTTTATGATACACAGTCCAATTGATAACAATTGGACTGTGATCATAAAAGTTTAGTCATTATATTGATCATAAAAAAATGTTATAGAGATCAATTTACATTGGACATGCACATCCTTCCCCAAAATCTGCATATTTTAAACTGCTTTAGACAGAATGTTAGAAGCATGTCACCATATTTGTTTTTTTGTGTGAAACCAAAACAGAAAAAACTATAACACAAAACTGTTTCATTTTCCTATAAAATATCTAGTAATTGTATATACCATCATATGATAATGATACATCTTTAAATTACAGTGTTCTTTAAATTTAAACATTTTTATTTTAATTTTTGGGAAAATTTTAAGTCTGAAAATATTCTGCATCCCTGCTTATATGTAAAAATTGAACAAGCATACTTTATTTTATGAATTTTACATTTCCATAAATTATCCTTCCTATTGAATTTTATAATGCTTCACCATTTTTCAATTTTTCAGATTTATTAATCATACAATTAGTATTTTTAATCAATCTACACTATTATTGATAAAGAAATAAAATTCTTCCATTATGTCTATGGCATAGTTCAACACACAAACAAAAGCTTTTAGTTGTGATGAGAATAGGAATATTCTGCTAAAAACATTTTCTTATCAATGATTTTTAAGGCAAGCTTTGTAATGCACGATTTCTCCAGAACATCCAATCATGACATCAGAAGATCATGTGCCATTTTTAGATGTGAACATGAATCATTTTTAGACAGGTATGACCTTGCAACTTGGTCTTGCACAAGAAGAATTTTTAGACATACCCTTAGCTATTTGCAAACTGGAAGCACTCATTTTCTGTACATTCTATGTTATTAGTTTTAACAAAATGATTGGTTTGACCCAGCACACTGACAATTCTATTCAAACAAAGACTTAAAACCTATACATGTTCTTTCATTAGTATGCCTATTTGAGAATACAGTAGAGTGTTGATTATCTCAATGTCGATCAACCGAAAGCGTTCCAGTCGGACTGTGTCGTGCTGAATCGAACGTTTTTGATATTAGATTAACTTCTAAAGTATAATTTTTTTTTGTTTTTATATATTTCAATACATTAATTTTGTTTGTACAAAATAAAGAAATAATTTTTAACGATACAATAGCCATGATTATTATAATAAAAATTTTCATTAGGCTTAACATCGATGAAAATTCAATGCAAAATGACATGCAACAGAGAAAAATTTAAACATGGGATATACTAATATACTTTATTAATAATTTATTTTTTTATATATAATCAGTTATCCAAAAAATCTATTTTCCAAACAACCCCAGTCTCCAATTGATTTGGATAATCGACACTCTACTGTATAANGTCAGTGATTTTAAAAACTACTTATTTAATTTTCTTTCTGTTGAGACCTAATTATCGATCGGAAAACCAATTGTACTTTAAAAGAAACAGGCATAGCCTTCTCACTGAAAATGTAGTTTTTTTTTTTTTTTGTAGTGTAGGACCTACAAACTACTTGTCTTTTTTTTATACCCGCGACCCCCCGTGTAAGGCTTTGCGACCCCTCTGGGGGTCGCGACCCACAGGTTGAAAAACACTGATGTAGAGATACAATGTGCTTGTATATCGATGACGTAATACACATAACTGAGGAGTGAATGAAAACAACCGAGTCAAATTAATTAAGTCTGAAAAAAGAAAGTGTGCATTATAATGGAGAAAATGTGACTATTGTATTAATCTTTAAAATATTGATATTAAATCTGTCTTATAAAATCATGACGACTCCAGTAAATCGAGTTATCCTATAAGAATAAAATACAATACCAATATAGCCCTATCATTGAAAAAATTTGCTTATATTTGCTCACCTTGAATTTTTTTAGTAGAAATGGCTAAAAAGTGTGCAAAATACGTACGGAAATACAGTATTACAGTACCACCTGTATTGGACGACCATCTTTTGTGGTCGTCCAATACAGGTCCTTTTGTGGTTCCTTCAAAAAGTGGTCTAAAAGACCACTTTTTGAAGGAACCGTGAGTGATTGCCATAGACAGGTTTTACTGTATGTAAATTATTTTTATGAAAATAAAATTATTATAAAAATAACCATAAAGTAATATCAGTAAATAAATTTAAAATAAACACACACACATACTGTGTGTGTTTATGGTTCACTTTCAACTTTTATACATACCCTGATAAAATTTTTTTAATGCAATCTATCTGTCCAATACTTGCTGCTGTATATAAATCTAGAGGTATAGCATCTTGCCATAATTCTTTCCATAGCCACGACTTATCAGTATTAGTTCTGTCATCCTTCATAGTTTTTGGTAATGTATCCATTGCTAATTAGAATTAAAAATTTTAATTTTCCTTTAATATTAATTAAAATAAGACAAATAAATTTATCTTAAAATAAAAAAATAGTGATTACATTAAAATGAAATAATAAATTATCTAAAACTTTAAAAAATATTTTCAATTAAATATTTTAAAATTTAAAATAATCTCATTAATAAATGTTATATTAATACAGGAAAATCTACTAATTATCAATAGTGATGATAAAAACAACTAACAAGGTTAAGTATGGCAAGTAAATAAAATTACAATTAGTGAAAATTCTGGTTTAATTGACTCCAACATTAAGAGAACATGTTAAAACAAAGACAAATGTATAACATGAAGATTTAATTGTAATTATTATTAATTAATAATAATTCATCCAATATAAAACTGAAGTAATAAATGCCAGCAATTTAAATTACTGTACTTAGCAAATAAAAATTAGAACAATTAATGTTTAACATTTAAAAACACTGGTGAAGACTTAGGTTGATAATGTGAAACAAATTTAAAAATACATATTTATCTCAAGATAATGATAACTATAGTCAAAATCTAATTAAAATAAGTGAAGTTTTATCAGTATATTTTAACTTATATATTTTGAAATTTGCTAATTTTGATAATAATATTTGTGATTAGGCAGATTCTACTGGATTTAGAAAGAATTTTTTATAAGTCACCAGAAAAATTTCATTCATTAGAAACAAATATAAATAACACAGTTCTTTTCCTTATAATTATTAGTGGAAAGTTTACCTAGTTTATCTCCAACGTCAGAAAAATTAGAACATCTTGGTAAAGGGCGACCAAAGAGACCTAAAACACGTGCTCCAACTCGTCCTGCAATTCAAACTAAAGAAATCAGAGAAGATATTCAAGACTTAGGTGAAGGCTTAGAAGTATTTTTTCGTAGGCATGCAAATTCTTCTTCAACTCCTACTTTATCTCCAGATTCAGAAGAACCAAGGTATATATATATATAAATAATTAGTATAAGTAAAATATTTAATGTATAAAAAGAATAATTTTTAAAAAGGAAGTTCAAATTATTCAAATTAAAATTCAAAATTTTTGTTTTATTTTTTTTACACCAAAAAAAAACAAAACAAAAATTTTGAATAATTTTTTTGTTTTAAAAAAAACCACGTCTACGACACTAAAATGGCAGTTTACATTTGATAGAACATGTATCCAAGACTAGTATTCAAAAACAGACTGGGAAAAATCCTTGATTTGTGACCATGACATTGAAAAATGTGAACGAGGAAGTCCATTTTCCAAAAAACTAGTAAATGTCCAATAACTCAAAAACTATGACACTTATACATAGATTCTATTATATATATAAATATATATATATATATATATATATATTTTGTTTTTGCATTCAGCATTCACCAATAGTAATATTTAAAATGCATTCAATTTATATTTTTTCGTATAATTTATAGTTGAATGTAAGATAAACACACTTTTTCGTTTTTATTTCGTTTAAGTTTTTTAAGTTCGACAAAAATTTTCTATTATCGAGTCGTTTCTAAAGAATATGCTTACAGAATGATTAAAAAATTCTATACAGTTTGTAATGCTTTTGAGTGCGTTGTCAAGACGTCTCCTTGCTTTCCAATCAGAATATCAGTAACATACTGTATCAATGAAAAGATGTCGACACGATGTTATGTTGGGCACGGAGCCGTGGCGTTTGTTTATCTTAATCGTCTGTATTCACAAGGGATATAAGAGAAAGTGAAGATCACAGACCTATCTAAGGATGGAGGATAAACGGGAAAATAGGTTCGAGTTAAAAGTAACCGACAATTTTGACTTAACGAGACCGTATTATATGGTAAACTCTATATACTATGCGTTAATGCGACTTTCGGTTGTAGTTCGATTTAGCAAGAATGATATACAATGAAGTATATCATTCGTTCTTC